CTTTTAAACTTGGCATGATTGAAACACTCTCTGAAAAACTCAGATGATCTCTGGTTTTCTTGACATTATTTGAAAAAGGATGAAGAAAACTAGTAATTATAAATTGGTCTTGGGACTAACGAGTAGTGGTTTACCCAAAATATGCATATATTCAAAAATTTCATCAACCTATTCCAAAAACTGCATGTTAAAATACACATTAGGATAAATAGCAGATGAATATCCTTCTGGACTTATTTAATGACCTTATACTTTTCAAACAGGATGGAATCACCATAGATGCTACAAGGGAACTACTTGAATATGAGATTATAAACGAGACTATGACTGTTGGTGCATCCACTCGATATATGTCGACTATTCAGGTATCTCGCCGAGACAGTTTTTATTTTTGGTGTATTGAAGTAGTTGTGCCAGTTGCCATTACAGGTCAAGGAAACTAACAGTTATGTCTTGCAGGTGGAGATTGAATTCCAGAACCAATACACCTTCTATATCACCAATGTCATAGTGCCAACCCTCCTTATGGCTATCATCTGTTATCTCACCTTTTACTTCCAGCTCAATGATTTTCAGGTAATGCAGTGTTAAGTAGTTTTTATAAGCTGCTAAAAAAGGACCTTATTTTCTATCAAGAGTACTTGTTTAAGAATATTCTAGCAAAGATCTAAAGTATGTCATGACGAATACTTGGCTTTATAGCGGCATTTACAGTGAACTCAGTTTTTTTCTTATAGATAACCACACTGTCCAAGAGTAAGGAGATTACATATAGCTTTATACTTTCTTCTTATTTCACATGTATGATAACTTGGTGACATCCCGACTTCTTCACAGGACCGCATCGTGATTTCCCTGACGTCCATGCTGGTGCTGGCGACGCTCTTCACCCAGATGAGCCAGTCCATTCCCAAGACGGCCTATTTCAAAGTTATTGATGGCTGGTTCATGTGTCTCATTGTCATCGACTTCTTGGTTGTTGTTATTCACACTATCATTGAAAACCTCTGTGGAATGAGAGCCTCCTCGCTGAACAAATCTGTCAAGCAAAGTCCCACCCAAGTTGCATGGTCTTCGCATGAGCAAAATAATACCAAGGGTTTCATTATGGCACAGAGAGTGAATGTTGCTTCCCAAATTATATTCCCCTTCTTAATTACTTTTATGTGTACAATCTTTGCCATTTTTGGCTATTCTAGCTTATATATGACACCGTAAGCATAAACATACTAGTGGAAGAGGCACCATCTTCATTGCAGTGTTGATTTTCAATGTCCCAAGAGTAGGAAAAGTTTCATTACCCCCCTACACCATCTTCTCTTACTGTCCGTAAAATACGAAGGCACAATTAGGTTGGGTGGAAAATTGTTCTATAGTACATGTAAATGACTGTTTCTGTGTAGATTTTGCAGATATTTCTTTTGAGTAACCACACTTTACTGTAGAAACATAGAGAATGTCCTGACTAAACACTGTAACCCAGAAGGAAGCCTTAATATATTCACTGTTGATGGGGCAGCCAAGACAATTCAGGTAGCAGAACCCTTGCTTGCATGCATGTGTTGTATTATTATATAATCTTTTGTGTAGTTTTATGTAAGAAATCCTCTCTTGCTGTTCTTTTCCTTCTTAAACTTACAGGATATCTTTGATAAATCCAAATTTCAAAAAAATGTTTTTTTCCTTATAAAACTGTTCCTGTCTATACTATAGTGGTATCTAATCTACTTTACTCAGTGCACTTTAATCCACATGAATGCAAAGATACCAAACTCTGAGTGTTTTACAAAACGAAAACTTATTATTGTGAAATAGGAAAGAAACCTTAATATTCTACTCAATTTACAATATAAATGAATTGCTGTTAAATGTGTACCTTCATAGAAGAATAGGGTTAAATTGTAGTACTTATGAACTATGAGTAAGATGGTTTTCATTCACAAATTAAGTCCAGAAGTTAAGAAGCTAAAATCAAGCACATTCATCATTTCTGTATAATTGCACAAAACCTCTGATGTGAAGTTCCCTACATGAAGAAAAAAATATCTCATTTTGCAATTTCTACCTATGTATAACACATATGATGTTTAAAAATAAAAAGTTGATATTAGAGAAAATTATTGCAATCACATTTTAAAATCCTTTATAAACCTGGCTTCCCACACATATAATTTCAACATCATAATCCACACATGTTGGGTGTAAAGAAAAAAATAGTAAAATGTGGCATCTTATTCTGTGAGACAAGATTTTTTTTGTTCAAATTTCTATTGTTTTTTATCATATATATTCTGTGAAATATAACCTGCATCAGTTATCAGACACACACACATGACCCCACCACAAGGCTTGGACAGCTCAACCCCAAGCCCAGCACTGACTCGAACCTATGACACTTGCATCAGTAGCTGGGCACTCTCCCAACTGAGCCACGATAGTGGCTTTGCTTAATTTGGAGATCCTACTGGACCGCAGTTGCAAGTGTTACCATTGTACAATGAAAACCTGTCTAAATTACTTTGGGGACAAGGACAAACTCAAGAATTTCTTATAATCATATTAACTGCTATTTTGACAATTACTGGAAAAAAAAAAATTATTATCACCAAAAAATATAAAAAGTTTTCTTTCTTTCTTAACTCTTGCACTACAATATCCATAATGGTTTTACACAGTTTTTTGTAAAATCAGGATAATGAAAAAACAACAACATTCCACTAGTTTTTAATATATAGAAAATATTGGCATCAGTATAATTATTCAAATATCAGAATGCTACATACTTCATCCGTTAAAGTAATGAATACTAACACAAACTAAACTTCAACCCTCTGTAAAACGTTAGAGATAATATGATAAATGAATCACAGTGACATAGAACTTCTGAGATATATTAGCAAAAGTTGAGGACCTTACTTAAATACATAAAAAAAAAGAAAAGGATAAAAAATATATATATATATAATATACAAATACCAGAAAAAAAAGAAAGTACGGACCACTTGTACTTGTAACAAGGTTTCAACACATGTGTTCTCTGTGAGAGTTGGACTGCTTCAGACCCTGGTAATATCCTGTGTGGTACCCAGCCATGTACCAACTCATGAGCATCGTGTGGAGGGCCTCTGATGTGCTGGGGTTGCTGTGAAGGTCCATGGCCAGGGCTGGCGGTGGCGGCAGGTGTGGCAGATGTGGCTAAATGGCGGAGGAATTGAGTAACTTAAGATTTGTGAACGGCATTAATTTCAGTAAGGTGATGAAAAGAAAAATTTGTAATAATTATATACTCAGATCCATGAATTTGTTATTTTCAGTATGATAATAAAAACAAAAACTTGCAGCTACCATTATGTGTAACAAAGACGACAATTATACAAAACCTGAGATCTTGAAACTTACCGGAGGCACAAAACTTGGTCCACTTGTTGGGAGCTTAGGGGGAGGCATCTGTTATTGAAGCAAATACAAAGTTACTATGATAATAATGTTTCTTATAGTGGCATTAAAACATAAATGATCAAGCTTTGCAACTGACAGTATCTGAATCAAAGAGGACTATGGATGGGAAAGGGAGAACACACCCACACATACTCACACCTGCAAACATGTATGATCATCCAAGAGTATGAACAACAACAGAATAAAGAAATACTTATACATGTGTTACCAAGCCAAGAAGCCATACCAATCCAAGAAGCCAATGCACTGAATCTTACCATATCTGAATACTGTCTATGACGTGGTTTTTGCCTCTTGCTGGACCGTTCGCAATCGGTATCAGTTTGAATGTCACTCTCAGCCACAGAACTGCTTGCCTGGAAGTATATGATTTAAAAGATAACTTGAGTCACAAAATGATGTTAAGAGACTAATTCGGAAGGAGCATGTTACCCAGATTTGCTTTAATATTTTTTTCTCAACATCTGATTTGAAGTAATGAATACACAAAATATCTTGGCAATTTTAATTTCCAACAAAATATTAAAACAAAATTCATATAAAAAAAAAAAAAAACATAATTGTAATTTTCTGGAGGAGGAGGAGGAGGAGGAGGAGGAGGAGGAGGAGGAGGAGGAGGAGGAGGAGGAGGAGGGAAAAAAAAAAAAAAAAAAAAAAAAAAACCCTGAATACAACTCTGCTCCAGGCCTCCTTACCTCCGAGTTATCAAAGTCAGCGTCATCTTCCTGTTGCTTGCGGGCCGACTCTCCCCTGGACTTCTGGAGTTTGCTTAATGGAACTTCCTCTTCATTGTTGTAGCCGACGTATCGCACAACGCAGGTTCCTTCTTTAGTGTTCATGCCAATGATTGTTGCCTCGTAGATGACATTATCCTCCGAAAATCGTGCTCGGCATGCATCACCTGTGTGCCACTGAAGTAAAGTCGTTAATGTGAATTTTCCTACTCTTGGGACATTGTAAGTGAATTTCATTTTACTAAATGATGTATATGTTCAGTTTTGAAAGCACTTTCAGATATGGCAATAGCATTATTATTAGTACATTCCAAAATTTTGTCATACTGAAGATCCTTTTTTTCTGTTAGACAACTTCTCTACCAAAAAATAAGAGTAATTCAAAACAAGTAACGTTCCTGTACGATATTTTGAATAATCATCCTCACTAATTTATCAACCTGTTGTTAATCACTACCAGTCAATCAAGTGCAAGTATGCCTTGATGAGAGAGAGTGAGAAGTGAGAGTGAGAGGGGGGGGGGAGGGAGAGAGAGGGAGAGAGGGAGGGAGGGAGAGAGAGAGAGAGAGAGAGAGAGAGAGAGAGAGAGAGAGAGAGAGAGAGAGAGAGAGAGAGAGAGAGAGAGAGAGAGAGAGAGAGAGAGAGAGAGAGAGAGAGAGAGAGAGAGAGAGAGAGAGAGAGAGAGAGAGAGAGAGAGAGAGAGAGAGAGAGAGAGAGAGAGAGAGAGAGAGAGAGAGAAAGAGAGAGAAAGAGAGAGATAAAAAGAGAGAGAGAGAGAAAGATAAAAAGAGAGAGAGAGAGGAAGATAAAAAGAGAGAGAGAGAGGAAGATAAAAAGAGAGAGAGAGAGGAAGATAAAAAGAGAGAGAGAGAGGAAGATAAAAAGAGAGAGAGAGAGGAAGATAAAAAGAGAGAGAGAGAGGAAGATAGAAAGAGAGAGAGAGAGGAAGATAGAAAGAAAGAGAGAGAGGAAGATAGAAAGAGAGAGAGAGAGGAAGATAGAAAGAAAGAGAGAGAGGAAGATAGAAAGAGAGAGAGAGAGAGGAGGACAGAAAGAAAGGGAGAGAGAGGAAGACAGAAAGAAAGAGAGAGAGAGAGAGAGGAGGACAGAAAGAAAGGGAGAGAGAGGAAGACAGAAAGAAAGAGAGAGAGGAAGATAGAATGAGAAATAGAGGAAGATAGAAAAAGAGAAAGAAAAAAAAAGAAAGAGAATGAAAGAAAGAGTAAGACAGAAAGAGAACGAGATATAACCCCACATAGAAATTTACCTCCGTCCTCCTTTTGTTCTTCTTCTTCTTCTTCTTCTTCGGATACTGCTGAGGAAGGGATCTGGTGATCCTCTCCGACTGCGGGGCCTCAGACTGTTCACTCTCTGTGGTGTTGTTCTGCGACATGCGTTTGTGCAACTGGCGCTGCACCTGAGCCATTGCTTCGTCATACTGCTGGATCAGTAGTGTGTCGTCCCAGATTTCTTCATGGGTGAGTTCCTGTTGAAAAGTTAATTCCCTGTTATATAATATGGATAGCCTATCAATTATTACTCAGTTACGTCTGCCTTAATCTGTGCACTTGGCTGATCTTGATGTTGATAGATGCAATAATACAAATATATCTTATATAAAAATCACCAACATTTACAGAGTCCAGTTGATTTCCCTTTCAAATACAAAAATATATATATTTTTTATCCAAGGGCTTTTTATGCAGCGAAAAACTGAGGGAGAAACTCCAGAGTTAATGGCTCCTCCCCATAATTTGTTAAATAACCTATCAAAGCTCACATGTTTCTACCTTCTTCCTATCATACTATGTTAAAATGATGGAAAAGCAAATATACTTCACATTAATTGCTAACCATACAGTAAGATACAGTGTACTTATCTACCCCTATACAAAATTGTATACTGTATAGTTAGATATCAAAGGTCATATAGCACTATGGTAAAGTATTATGGCAAAAGGGGTGGAAACGAGTCAATGATGTATGACAAGTATCTGTCTAAATTTTGAAAGGCTGACTGTCTTCAGTAAACAATGATAAGGTGATCTATAGCCTTACACAGTGGGAAATATATAGAGATTATATAAGTATGGGTAAGATGGTCTTACATCTAAAGTGATTCATACTTGTGTACTAAGGACTAGGACTATGGAAATTATGGTATGGTAATGACAAAAAGTTAAAATGACACTATTTGGTATAGAAAATAACCTGTAGAAATGCTGATAAGGCTGCAATCGCTTTATCAAATTCATGTCTTTCTTAGACACACAAGCCATGCAACACTGTGGTCTCCAGGCTTTGTGCTCTGGCAAAAACAAACAAACCTCCATCATATATATTCTGGGAGTGTGAAGTATGACAGCCACTTCACAGAGTTCCATTTTGAACAATTACCAAATAGGTAAAACAAAGAAAAGCTTAGAAGTGAAGTATTTTGTATCTGTTCTAGTTTAGAATTTGTGGCATATGCACACCAGAAGCATTACTCCCAAAACTACTGCACACCAGCAACCTGGTCACAGAGAAGGGGGAAAAGAATGTTGGTTAAAAAAAATAGTTAAAATCTGAGCAGGACAACTTTATAAGAGTCTGCATGGTATGCTCTAATATCACCCTTATAACAGCTGATCATACTTTTGTATTAATCAGCAAAGCTCTGCATGGTGAATTGTTTAAAGTATTGATGTCTAATGCTTCTAAACCAACCACACAAAATATAATTCCTTTTGACTATCTTGTGGTAAAGTATACAAAACATAGCTGTCTGCCACTCTTAAACTTCCAAGCTCTTCATGGCATCACTCCCTTGCATTATAAAAGCATGTACTGCACACAAATCGGTCAAATCAGGAAAACACTGGAAAAATCTCCCAAAATGTGAACTGCATGAAAATAAAGAAAAACTTTGAGAAAACATTAGATAACACTACAAGCTACAGAAAAAAAAGAAAGAAAATGATACAGAATCTCACAATCACTTATCAACTTTACACCCAGAGTGACTCGCATGATTGCTGTGGCCTACATGCCTTCAGCACTCTGGCAAATAGGACCACCATTGTCCACCATCTAATGCTAGCAAGGTAGAGCTTGTAGGCCAAATTAGAGCTTTTCGGTCAATCATGGAACCAGTAAAAGATCTATTTTATCAAATGCAAAGGAAGGCAGTAGGTTGAACTTTGCCACGGCACCAAGGCTATGCCAACCACAAGACCGAGACAGTCATAGGAGTTTGTCACAGTCATAAGCTTTGTGTCATTACCATACAATATTACACTTTCCAATGTGGTTTTTATTTAGGCCA